ATATCATCACATCTATTCCCAACGCCTATTCCCAATCTATGCTCCAACGCATCTTACCATGAATTAGGCCACTATAAATTGTTTATACATTCCCCATGTATAGCAAAAATAGTACTGGTGATCATTATTTGGCAACCACTGACAAGGGATTACCCCTCTGAGACGCTTAGGCACCATCTACCCATATCTAACCACATTTTCTCTAGCCATATGTCATCCGACCACACATCTCTACCCATATGTCATCCGACCACATCCTCTCAACCCATATGTCATCCGACCACACATCTCTACCCATATGTCATCCGACCACATTCTGTCTACCAATATGTCATCCGACCACATACTCTCAACCCATATGTCATCCGACCACATCCTCTCTAGCCATATGTCACCCGACCACATCCTCTCTTTAGCCATATGTCATCCAACCACTTTCTGTCTACCAATATGTCATCCGACTACATCCTCTCTAGCCATATGTCATCCGACCACATTCTGTCTACCAATATGTCATCCGACCACATCCAAACATCATTCTCACATGATTCAGCAGGCATTAAGGCTTGAATTGCTTTGCTAGAGCATAACCAGTACCAGGGCATGGTATTTACTATATTCTTATTTAGATTATAGACACATTAGCTCTGTTCCAATATCCACACTAACATACCACAGAGTATGAAGTACTGACATGAATTCTAAGTAGTATGCTAGTGGACATGTTAAAGAGAACGGGATCTTAAGCACTTACAAAATCATAACATATTGTACGAATGCACTTACTAATTCGTAACATATTGTACAAATTGGGAATTCATAACATATCATACGCATTGGATGACATTGTACACAATAGTGCCCAACTTTCGGGGACCCGTTTTGGCTGGTGAGAGCAACTTTCAGAACTACTGGCTAAAGAGTAGACAACACCTCTGGAACACATCTTTAACTCTTAGCATGAGTGATAATGAAATATTTAACTAAAGATAAGACTTAAACATATGATATCAATGTGTTTTCAAACATGACACAGTTACTCAGGGATCATTTCATGCATCAATCAAAGCTCAAAGTGACGAAACACTAGATGCTGTCATGTCATAATATGTAAGGCTGCACTACAGATACAGCAGTTATCTTATCATTTAAACTGATATCTGGTAAAAGTTAATTTTTTTTTACTCTCCTATCTGATAATATTGCCTCTGGTGGTATGGAGATTGAGAATAAGGTCTCATGTTTCACAAATGCAGTACATAATCTACATTATTATCTGTGCTAACACTCCTTTACAATAAGCTATTTCAACTATTTAGGGCGCCATGAGTATAATCCAATCACTATCCCGCTCCATAAACAGCAGCAACCACAACAAAGGGCAGGCCGATGAAACAGGGAGGCAGAGCCACATTTAACCTCAAGGTATTTTTATTCCACTTTCCTCTGGGCACATATACCCTTTCTTTCATTTATTATACCCTTCCATTTCCCCTCTCCCCTCTTCCCCTCTCCCCTCTTCCTTCCCCTCTCCTCCCCCATACCCTCCCCTCCTCTCCCTTCCCCTCTTCCCCCCCCCTTCCTTCCCCTCCCCTCCCCTCTCCTGTCATCTCCCATCCCCCCTTCCTTCCCCTCTCACATCCCCCCTTCCTTCCCCTCTTCCTTCCCCTCTCTCATTTTCCTTCCCATCTCCCCTCCCCTCCTTCCTTCCCCCGCCTCCCTCCTCCTTCCCATCTTCCTTTCCCTTCCCCCTCCCCCCCTTCCTCCCTCCCCCTCCACCCTTTAATCCCCTTTTCCCTCTTCCTTCCTCTCCCCTCCCCCTTCTTGCCCTCCTCTCCCCCTTCTTCCCCTCCCCTCTTCCTCTCCCCCTCCCCTCCCCTCTTCCTCGCCCCCCTCCCCCTCCCCTCTTCCTTCCCCCCTCCCCTCCCCTCTTCCTTCCCCTCTCCCCTCTCCCCTCCTCCCTTCTTCCCTCCCCTCTTCAGACACCTTGTGCGTTTTGGAGTCGAACAGCCAGCCTGCTCTGGACTGGACTGGACTGGAGCCTGAGCCGTAACTGAGCTGAGCCGCGAGGATCCACTGGGAGATTTTCCGAAGCTAATTCAGCCCCTTTTCCAAACAACAGGGGAGAGCAGATAATTACCTAAGTGGAGATTCTGGAATAACTATGTGCAGCTGGAGGGTACTCTGTCCACAGATGTGCTCCCCTTTTCTCCATCCCTCTTTCCATCCCTCTATCCCTCCCTCCCTGGTGCCTACTGACCCCCCCCCGTCGAGGGAAGGGATGGAAGGATGGAGAGAGGGAGGGAGGTCTAGGAAGCAATCAAGCCTGATTTGTTAAACCTGTAATTTGCAGGCTGGCTGTGTGGCGTTTGGTATCTGTGGCACAACTATCGGGGCGAGAGAGAAGAGGGAGCGAGAGAGAGAGAGAGACCCGGGGCTCCATAAGTCCTTCCTCCAGAGCCGGCGTGGATAGAAAGAGATGGAGGATGTGGAGGAGGGAGGGAGGGAGGATGCAGGATGTGGAGGGAGGGAGGTGGTTAATTTAGGATCGCTCTGCCAGAGAAAGAGGACTGCCTGGCCTCCAGCCAGAGGGCACCAGGCCCCTCAGACAGACAGAGTCCTTGAGAAGCATTACAAATGGCACCCTGTTCCCTATTTAGTGCCCTACTCTTTGACGGGAAATCTTTTAAAAACTTTAAAACACAAATAAGCGGCAGGGGGACATTGGTGAAGCGGACTCGGGATGGAAAGGGAAGGAGGGGGGGAGGGAGGGGGGGGAAGGGATGGAGGGAGGGAGGGAGGCCCATCCCTTTCCCAGTGGTGGCTCTATCTCTGGGTCAGTCAAAGATGGAGGGGCTGTGGTCATCCCCCCACCCTACATGTTTTTCTTTAGTCGAGGTGAACTTGGGGAAACCCTTTTCTCCCCTCTCCCCCCCTCTCTTTCTCCCTCCCCCTCCCCCCTCCCTTTCCCCTCCTCTCCCCCCCTCTGTTTTTTTCCTCTCCCCCTCCTGTTCTCCCTCCCCCCCTTCCCCCCCCGTTCCCCTCCCTCCCCTCCTGTTCCTCCTCTCCCCTTCCCTTTTTTCCTCTCCTCCTCTCTTCCTCCCTCTTTTCCCCCTCTCTGTCCTCTCCTCTCCTCCTCTCTGTCCTCTCCTCTCTGTCCCCCTCCTCCCTTTTTTTCCCCCTCTCCCCCTCCCCCTCTCTGTTCTCTCCTCTCCTCCTCTCTGTCCTCTCCTCTCCCCCTCTCTGTCCTCTCCTCTCCCCCTCTCTGTTCTCTCCCCCTCTCTGTTCTCTCCTCTCCCCCCCCTCTCTTTTCTCTCCCTCCCCTTTTCCCTTCTCTCTTTCTTTCCTTCCTTACATGATGGTTATTACAGCTCTCTCTCTCTTGCTCTCCATCTCTTCTCTTCTTCCTCCTCTCTCCCTTCTCTCCCTCCTCCCTACTCTGGTTATGACAGCTCTCCCGCTCTTGCCCTCTCCCTTCCACTCCCCCCCTCCCCCCCCCTCCCTCTGTCCTAACGGTTTGCCAGCCCTCTGTCCTACACGGTTATGCCAGCTCTCTTCCACACGGTTATCCCCCTCCTGTCCCCTACCCCCGGTTTGCCACTCTCTGTCTCTCCCCCGGTTATGCCCGCTCTCTGTCTCTACCTGGTTTGCCCGCTCTCTGTCTCTACCCTGGTTATGCCCTCTCTGTCTCTACCCTGGTTATGCCAGCTCTCTGTCTCTACCCTGGTTATGCCAGCTCTCGGTCTCTACCCTGGTTATGCCAGCTCTCTGTCTCTACAATGGTTATGCCAGATCTCGGTCTCTACCCTGGTTATGCCAGCTCTCGGTCTCTACCCTGGTTATGCCAGCTCTCTGTCTCTACACTGGTTATGCCAGCTCCCTGTCTCTACACTGGTTATGCCAGCTCTCTGTCTTGCCAGGGTGTTTTAGGGCTGCTGCCTGGGCATAATGATGGATTTGTGCTGCTGTTGCATTTTCAAGTGATGCTAGTTTTTATTCTATTGAAAAACAGATATGACAGATTAATACACTTAAGATGAAGAATTGGCGGGGGATCAAGTCACAGCCAGCAGCCCTTAGCCTTAAATGAGAAATATTTTGAAGCTGCAGGGCCAGTTTTATTACTTTAGAGCACTGATCAGTTTATCATTTTGAAACTGCCTAACTCTTGTCATTCATTTGGGATATTGTATTTTGAAACCCCCAGAACAATTTAGGGACATATTGGGCATGTCTATCGGTACAAATTCATATCTCAAGCTAATTCCATCAGACTTATGATGTTGTATTTACCATGTCATTGCATGTTTGGGAACCACTTTGGTACTAAGCCTACAGGTATAATGCTTTGTTACAACTTGTTTTAACCATGTACGAGCCTCTATGGAGTAGGCTTATGTTTTCATTAAAGGCCCAGTGCAGTGAATAACTGGATTTTCCTGTGTTTTATATACATTTCCACACTATGAAGTTGGAATAATACTGTAAATTGTGAAAATGATGATAATGCCCTTTTAGTGTAAGAGCTGTATGAAAAGACCACCTGAAATTTCAGCCTGTTTTGGTGGGATGGAGTTTTGGCCTGCCTGGTGACAAGCGGTAAATTAGTTAATAAACCAATAAGAAAGAGAGTTCTGAACCTCTCTGCAAATAACAGCTAGTTTTCAGTTTCCCTTCCCCACTCAGATCACTCCCAGACAGTCCTAGCAAAATTATTGCTTGAGACATTGCTCTATGCTAAGAATTTGAATTGAAAACAAAATCACAGTAAGGTACTTAATTGTTACCAAGAAATGATTTAATAATGAGATGAAAACAGCTTCATTGGACCTTTAAGAGGCGGTTTCCCAGACATAGATTAAGCCTAGTCCTGATTCTCCATTCAAAGCACTTCTTTGTCCAGGACTAGGCTTATTCTGTGTTGGGAAAAGCGGCCCCAAATCTCTAAGAAAGTAAATCCACCTGACGTAGACGATGTATGGATTGCCGTCGTTAACGCGGATGGATGTATTGATCCTTCTGATCCCTTCCTCTCGGTTACAGGAGAAGACATACTGAAACACATTACAGAGAAGAAATAGTCTGCTACATGATGCATCAGAACAGGGTGATAATAGTCTGCTACATGATGCATCAGAACAGGGTGTGATAATAGTCTGCTACATGATGCATCATTTGTTTGGGATAAAAACATAGCACAAAGCACTATGGTCCACAAAACATTTGCAATTATAGGCTATATCAGCCAACATAGGCAGTACTGTAAACAACAATGAAACAGCAAAATCATCAAAGACTTCATAGAGACTCGAAACATGTAGTCTTTTGACCAGAGCACACAGGGCATCCCACATTAGTGCACTATATAGAGAATAGGATGCCATTTGGGATGCAGAGAAAGCCTCACCTGTAGCATTCCCTCCTGAATGAAGAGCTTGATGAAAAAGAAGCCCCTGGTCACTACTCCTTGGTCCGCGTACAGGATGGTCCCCTGGGCCTCCCGGGTCTGAAACCTCACAGTGATGTTGTTGTTGGCACCAAGGTCCATGCCCTCAAACTCCAAGTAGGAATTACCAGAGTACTGGACGTAGCTAGAGTCTGGAGAGGGGAACAGGGTGTGAGAGAGGGACGGGGAGAGGGAGGGGAACAGGGTGTGAGAGAGGGGAACAGGGTGTGAGAGAGGGGAACAGGGTGTGAGAGAGGGACGGGGAGAGGGAGGGCAACTTAGAAACATGTATTATTTCTGAAATCTTTCAACACCCTCACAGTACAGAGCGCTGAGAAATTGGGCTATTGTCTTGAAGGTATTCATTTTTCTCCTAAATATTGTCTGTGTCATACTGTGTACCTGCATAGTGCTTTGAAACAAATATGAAAACTGTCTGTTTGGTACGTCACTATTCAGCTGCGATTCAACACGTCATCCCTATTGAGATGTCAGTCTATGAAACAGCGCCAGGGGGTCTGCATTTTAATTCTAGAGGGGCAAAAAGATACAAAAGGACCCTTCAACTGAGTGTGTGTGTGTGAGAAGTCATAACGCCAGACTTGAAATGTAATTATGCTCCATAGAGAGGATGCCTCCCAAATGGCACGCTCTTCTCTATATAGTGCAATACTTTTGATCAATAGGGTGCCATTTGGGACGGAGTCTTAGTGTTCTTCATAGAAATATGAAATATGGATCTGAACAGAAATAATGTATCAAAGGCTTCTGATTGTGATTGCCCCTCCTACAGAGTGTCAGAGGAGGCAGGGAGCTGTGTTTCTTTGGTTCGCTTGAGAGTTCATCACTGGTATACCATGAATGACAAAATATATAGGCCCCCTACAAATCTCCTTACGTGTCAGTATATAGGCTTTTACTAGCTAAACATGCATACACTACAAAAACCTTACATTCATCAAACTGGGGGTAGAAAAGGACTCAAAACAGTTGCAAACATGGACATGGTTATTGTCTGAATATTTACTAAAGCAGATGCAAGCAAGAACACTCAACACAAAGGCTATTTAAGTTTTCTAATTCACTTAGGATACTGACTATCCACTAGCCAGACTGTAGAGTACAGTACAAAGAGAATGGCTAAGGACATACAGATGGTAACTGAGAAAGATTGATCAGTCTGCATTCACCAGAGCGGAATTAAAGCCAGGGTGAAGTTACTGGGGGAAAAAATGATATGAAAAACCAATGTGCTGGTGCACTCCAATGGGTAAACACTATAGGGCCATGGAGACTTGGGTTGTAGAAGCTGCTCTTAGAATAAGGTTGTCTGTTGACTGGCAGAAAATCTAAAGGCATGATGGGAAATACTTTTTCCATCAAAGCACTCTTGAAGAATGATATGTTTGGAAACGTATTTATGAGGAAGGACTGTTGACAGATTTCATAAGAGCGAAAACGTTTCTTCCTACATCATTTCCAAAGTAGCATCGTAATGCTTATTGAACTGTATACTGTAAAATGACCTGTCCACATGGCCCCTCTGGCAGTGTGTTGGACTACAACTCAAAGTAACTGCAGTCAGTGAACATGTATATTTACACACTGAAGCCTGCATGACCCTAAATACTGTAGTATTTAGAAACAAAGTCACATATAAACCCATAATGAAATTACACATTAACAGCATAGTCCCTTATAGCTCTGTGAATGCGCTAGGTTTTAAAAGGAATTGTTAAAATAATATATTGTCCTGTGATTGTTAAAAGCCCTCACACCTCTCCCGTTTATGGGCTGTAAAGGGGTAAATATGATTGCTTGGCTACAGGCTGTGAAGCATGTAAATGACACAATATACTGAAGGTGGAGAGAGAAACAGAGAAAAGAGAAGAAGCCTGGCTGAAAGGAATTGAATCATACAACTTTATTACATGGCTCATTGTATAGCATGATATCCTGCTTCATATCATCCATGTCAGCAGGCAATTATGGGACATTTCAGGAAGGCTTGTTCTAATGCCTGGAAGTTTATTGAGGGTAGTGAGTGACGCAGACAGTTTTAAGAGACTGACTCGGACTCCAGAAATGTGGGGCAGAGAGAGCATTAGAGAAACTCATCATGCTTTATGTACTGTATTTCTCGTGTGACAAACGTTGCCATTTGTTGACAAAAAAAGCCCCATCCGGTCTTCAAAACCCTGTTATAATCACAAGCGCTCCCTAATACACCTGTCTAGTAGTTCTTCTCATCTGTCTCTTCTGTTAAATGGCTACACCCCAGAAATCAGACAGCCAGATCACTGTTAAATGGCTACACCCCAGAAATCAGACAGCCAGATCACTGTTAAATGGCTACACCCCAGAAATCAGACAGCCAGATCCTGTTAAATGGCTACACCCCAGAAATCAGACAGCCAGATCACTGTTAAATGGCTACACCCCAGAAATCAGACAGCCAGATCACTGTTAAATGGCTACACCCCAGAAAACAGACAGCCAAAATCACTGTTAAATGGTCAAACCCCCCAAAACAACAGCCAATCCCCTGTTAAAGGCTAACCCCAAAATCAACCGCCAAACACTGTTAAAAGGCCTACAAAACCAAAAAAAAGCAGACAGCCAGATCATGTTAAAAGGAACACCCCAGAAATCAGACAGGGCCGATCACTGTTAAAAAACTACACCCCAAAACCGAAAAACCCAACTGTTAAAAAGCTACCAACCCCCCCAAAAACAGACGCCAGATCACTGTTAAATGGCTCACCCCAGAAATCAGAAAACCAGTCACGTTAAAAAAGCTAAAAAAACCCCCGGAAAAACAGACAGCCAAAAAATCACTGTTAATGGCCCCAAAACCCCCAAAAACAGACAGCCGACACTGTTAAATGGGACACCCCAGAAAAAACAGACGCCAGATCACTGTTAAAAGGCTACATCCCCCGAAATCCCCCTCTATAAGGGTTTTTGTTTGGGGTTTTCAAAAAATCTAAAGTGAGCAACTAACAAAATTGGTTAGACTTTGAGGCCCCAATTTGACAACCTGTTTGAAACTGACGGAGGGTGGTCTCCAGGAAAGATGGGCTATGAGTAATGGTTAAACCACTACCCTGAGGAGAAGCCCCAAAACAGAACAGAATAAAGAAGAGACCCCGGGAATATCAGGAAGGGGAGAAAAGAGAGGATTTAAATTTTCGGAAAGGGAAAAATAAATCAGGGGGGGAGAGAAAAATTAAACTTGGGGGAAAAGGAGAGAATTTTCAGGAAAAGAGAATTTATTTAAGAAGAGAGAGAGAAATTAAAACAGGGAGAGGGAAAAGGAAAAAAGAGAGAAAAATTCAGGGAGGAGAAGAGAAAGAGAGAGAGAGTGAGAGAGAAGAGAAGGGAAAGAGAGCATTTTCAGGGAGAGAGGAGAGAGAGAGAGAGAGGACGGGGGAGAGGAAGCCTTTCCCGGGAAAAGGGGGAAGAGGGGAAAAAGAGGGAAAAAATTCTCTGGGAAAAGAGAAAAATTATCGGAAGAGGGGAGGGAAATTATTGGGGGAGAGGAAATTTTCAGGGGGGAAAGAGAGAAAGAAGAGGGAAAATTTTAGGGGGAGGGGAAAAGAGAAAAAAAAGAAAATTATCAGGGGGAGGGGAGAGAAAGAGAAAAGAATTATCGGGGGAAAAAGGAAAGAAAAGAGAGGGGAAAAGAGAGAGCCAAAAAAACATTAAACAGGGGGGGAAAAGGGGAGGGGGGAGAGAAGAGAAGAGAAGAAAAGAATTTTAGGGAGAGAGAGAGAGAGAGAAGAGAGAGAGAGGGGAAAAAATGAAATTTTTAAAGGGGGGAGAAAAGAAAGGAAGAGGAGAAGAAGGGGGGAAAAGAGAGAGAGAGAGAGAGCATTTTTAGGGGGAGAAAGAGAGAGAAAGAAAAGAGAGAGCATTATCAGGGAAAAGAGAGGGGTCGAAATGGATCAGAATTAAAAGAGGAAAAATCCACCAAAAAAAGGTTTTGCCTTTTCCCTCTCCCCCGCCCCCCCCCCTCCCCCATTCAGTTTCCCCCCAATAGGGTTTTTTCCAATTGCTGATGATGGAAAATTACCCCTCGGAGCCAAAGCCATTCATTAATTTTAAAGCCCTTGTTTGGTCTGATGTAGGCTTTGGGTCATCTGAGGCTGGTTTTTTTTTGAGCGTGCGGGGGGTTTTGTGTTTTGGGGCTGCGGGCTGCAACTGCTGCTACGAGGGAGGGGTTTTTGCCTAAAAAACAGTTACGCCAGAAACCCCCCCCAGGTCTCTATTTTCCCCTACTTAACCCTTAAAAAATTTCTGAAGTTTCCATCCTTTCTACATCCCCATTGTAATGGGCTTTTCTGTATTCCCACCGGGGTATAATCCTCCAGTGTAAACTGGTCTTTACTGTAGTTTACCTCCGGCTATCACTCCTCCAGTATAACTGGCCTTTACTGTAGTTACCATCCTGGCTATCATCCTCCAGTATAACTGGTCTTTACTGTAGTTACCATCCTGGCTATCATCCTCCAGTATAACTGGTCTTTACTGTAGTTACCATCCTAGCTATCATCCTCCAGTATAACTGGTCTTTACTGTAGTTACCATCCTAGCTATCATCCTCCAGTGTAACTGGTCTTTACTGTAGTTACCATCCTAGCTATCATCCTCCAGTATAACTGGTCTTTACTGTAGTTACCATCCTGGCTATCATCCTCCAGTATAACTGGCCTTTACTGTAGTTACCATCCTAGCTATCATCCTCCAGTATAACTGGCATTTACTGTACTTACCATCCTGGCTAATATCCTCCAGGTCAAAGCAGTGTAATGTACAATACCAGTCAAAAGTTTGTACACACCTACTAATTCCAGGGTTTTTCTTTATTTTTACAAGAACATTTTCAATAAATATGCGTGTGTTTTGGAAACATATTCTACCAGAAGAACAGGTGCTCAGCACGCATGCTTTGGGGTATTGTTTGTCTGTTATCTGACAGAGGGGGCCAACGCCACAGTGAAATTCAAGGACAGAGTTGTACCGAAATTGTGCAATTATTATTTTATTTTGTACCATTACTCATAACTTCATAATACATTTGAAGAGAATAAGACAAGTAATCCTTCATGTGCTATCATGTACCCTTTATTTCAAACAAGGACTCAAAAGG